TGCGGAAATCGGGCCGGAAGATCTCAATGGCTTAAAACCTTAGCTACTGCCAACGTGCCATTGGTACTGAAAGTCAGAAGATTATTTTAGATATAGATAACCAGCTCACCATCCCCCAAAGAAGGCGAAAAGGAAGGTGCTTTCTTAAACCGTACTATTTTTTGCGCTGACGTTTTAAAAACATCCTTATTGCAATCATCAGAGTAACGTGGTAGTTGTTTCTGTTTGCTGAGAATTGTTTTGTCTTGCTGCCAGTCTTGTATTATAGGCGTGCATAATGCATGGACACTAAAAGTGTTGTTCGCGGATTGATTTTTGCCCTCCGCGGCGGACCTCGTGTGAGTCCTGTCGCCTGTCCGGTTGCTTTTGTCTCTGCTTGGTCTTTGTGCCCCTCGTGTGCACTGAGGCGGCTGCCGCAGAACATCCCCCCATAATCGAATAGGCGGATCCACTGGCGCTCTATGTGGGAAGCACGTTTGTCTGTTTGGGCTCGTCTGTCGTTTGATTATTCAAGTCGGTCGTGTGCTTTGTGACTAGGTCTTCCTGCCAGCCACAGGGGTGACAGCTGTTTGCGAACCCACAAGTCGCTCGCCAGTGCCGTGGCCCTCATCAAGACTAACCGCAGTCTTGCACGGAGTGCCTAATGGGCCGGATTTAAATCAATCTTTCCATGCACCAGCATTGAGAGGATGCAAACCACACTATACCGTATTCAACAAAAACTACACGAAACCTCCAATTTAGAAGAGAGGAGGGGACAAAATACTAACATAGGCGTGTTCACAGCCAACGTTTATCCACGGTCATTCCTACGTGGGTGCCGACGACAACCTACCTATGAGAGACTGAAAAATGACAAACCGAAGTTTTGGCTTGCAATTCTCTAGGTGATGAATGTTTCGGAGGCGAGGGCACGAATCCTTAACCCACTTGGAATTAAGCATGCTCGTAAATCGGATTCGAGTATATGATAGCAGATAATGAGACCTAAAGGCTCGCTTCCGACAAAAGAACAATCGACAGTGGTCTACAGGATACCCTGACAAAACTGCATCGTGGGCATATCCAGGAAACGGGTAAATGCCTCTGTATAAGGTAAAAAAAACACCAGTCGGCAGTCACCCGAGAGGAGCAGAAGCACAGTTTCAGGTTCGGGGACGCGAAAGTCACCGGCCGATCCAATAACAAGATGGTCAGACTGGTGCTCAAAAAGTGGTCTTCGGTAGCATAATCAGTATAACGAGACAGGCAGCCAGAAAAATCAGTCCTGGCAAGCAGAATAATTACCACACCGCTCTGATGATGGAAATGTTGATACTTCCGAAACGTTAGCACAAATGCAGTATAGCCCACGAAAGCATCTTGAAAAGCATAAATGTTCTGTACCTCCTACCTATACCCATGTTTATCCACATATAGGTACTTCTAGCAGTTTGCATGTGGTTGCCCTGACAACTGCGAAAAGCATACGGGGCTGCACTTGATAACTATATTAAAGCCAGGCTTTCCACTTTTTGGTTGTTGTGAAACCACCAGCACTGATCTCTTTCGCAGGTTCATCATGTGCATATTCAACTTCCTTATCTGTACCTGGCCGCTTATGGTGATTATGGAGCTACATCTCATTGCTGTGATGAAGGACAATCTGCAGCCATATCCCAAAGATTATGAAAGGGTAATTCGGATTGTCTTGTTATCGATTCAAATCATTTATAATGCAATTACGTTGACTTTTTGGATTATGTCTCCACTGACCAGTACTATGGGAACTGCAGGATTTCGTTGGTTTGCTTTTTTCAGATAACAGAGTTTCCTCCCTTGCCTTGTCAATATAAAGGTGGTACAGTTGAATTGATTTTCGTTTATAAACGCCCAGAAATCGCTAAAACAACGCATTCGTCACATTCTGCCTCAGGGCTCAATTTCGACTCTCGCCGGCAACCCGTGGCAGCCTGTAGTGAAGGCAGATGAGTAGTGCAATACGCGGGGCTCATGCACGCAACCAGTTGATTAAATTTCCGACGGCTATTCATTTATTTATAGCGTTATTTATTTTCCAATGTGGATCGGCAGTATTCAAATCCCTTGAAAAATGCTCCCCGATTCTAAACTGACCTCAGTTATCGAGTTCCGCCTTGCGGCTCATTCTCGAGCCCCGCCAGCAACCGCACGTTGGTTGGTATTGTAGTCACATTAAAATTGCCAGGGAGACTGCAGTGGCCATTTCTGGCGCAATGGCGATCATCAAGCCGTCAAACCCAATTCCCGCCGGTTTACCACATGCGGCCTGAAATCATGACCTGTTGATTAAAAACCCACTAACTCACGAACACTTGAGCCATGACCTCTTTGTGCTGTCGACTTAGATCAGGAATATTCAGAAGCGTTGACAAACGATTAGTGATCACTTACACAAGTTTCTTGTCCCTTCCTATCTCTGGGGTCACAAATGAACCGCGTCAGCAATCGCATAGCGGTTAGTCGTGCAGAAAGCTTAAGCTTGCCAACCAAGACAAGCTTGACTAGAATATTTAAGTCGACCCAACTGTGAAAAAACTCGAGGCGTTCCGCGGGATTTTAACCCGCATAGTAGATAGGGCCCTTACCGGACG